TCTTGATCCGTGCTACTGTGTCATCCCTGAAGCAGGGGTAGTTTTATCTTTTATCTGAAAAAGAAACATTAGAACACAAGAAACGCCCACTTCCCTCTCTTCGCATGGTGCAGCCTGTCAATCATTCCAATTTGGGCAAAACATAACTGCATTGACAGACGGTGTGTGACATCAGGGCAGAGGCTGTAGCCAAATACAGACTTAACAATATGTATGTTTCTAATTTTATACTCCCCTAAATGTGAGTTACAAACCAAAGTTGTCCTCCGCCCAATGACCGCTCACTGCGGTTGGACCGAATCACTGTCAGGACAAACAGCAGAGGGGGGGGGGGACTCCCAGTACCTTCAGCAAGGTATTCATCTCAGAGTACTTTCCGCAGAGTACTTTCTCAGAGTACTCATCCCAGAGTACTCTCACTTTTACACCTGTTCAATAAAGCTTGTTATCTTTGAATCTCTAGTACTTACACCGTATGCTGTTGACAAAAAATAATTATTCCATGATCACATTAAAACATTACAGAAAACATTTGTTATTCCATTCTCCGTTCAGCATTCCTCGTTCACTCCTCATTTCACAACACACTCACAACACACTCACAACACACTCACAACTCCCCACGTTAGTATATTGGTCCAGAGTTTGTTAAGGTCAACGTAGTGTACTTGACATGACGCACAAACATATAAAATACACAAACACATATAACACACACAAACATATAACACACACAAACATATAGACAACACAGGAGGCCTGTAATTTTAACTTTGTTATATTTTTCCATGTCCAATTACAATTGTCTCATGAGCTATTTCATTGTTGCAACTTTCAGAGCCTGCAGAACATGCAGAGCTTTAAGAGATTTTTCCTAAAAGGATCCATTTCCAACTTTAGTGTTTACCACGTGGTCTTTGCTCGGGCTTCTCACAGACTGTGTCCCCTATAGTTTAATGAGCTCTTGTTGTTACTTAAAAAACTCGTGCGCTAAAAATGTTTTTCCCTTTTTTTTGTAAAGCCAGTTCGGATTCATTAAAAAATGTAAATTAGTTTCAAACTTTAATACTTCACCTTTGTTTCACGTTCATGTGGAGAAAAGACTATTATTCTACGTGTGTTGACGTACTTGCACCAATCATGTCTCAGATAAACTGCCAACAGTTGTATCAAAGACATAATTGTCCTAATTGTTTCTAATTTAGCTATTTGGAAGAGAAACATGTCATAAAAGATTTCATAAAATGTCCCTACATCCGTGTTTTCAACCAATGGACCGTGGTGCGTTAATGTGCCATCAAAAATGGTCTAATATCACCTTTAGCCAAGATTTAGAAATACTCTATATTATTTTTCAGACTTTTTTTTTTTTTTTTTTGATTGTCTGAACAAACCACTTTTGTATTAAATGCAACGTCCATTAAAAGCTGCAGTTCTCTTTCTAGCACCAGTATCAACTGTGCATGTGATTGTTCTTAAATGAGAAACAAGCCACGGTTCAGAGGTTGAAAAAAAAATTGCGTTAAATATCCGTATTACCAAGATCATGCAGTCAAAATCAATAATTCTAAACTTCTCCGCGACTATAACTTTAAATAACAATAATAGTTTTAATAATAAAGCTCATCTAAATCATGCACAAATATACTGCTGTTCTAATCTCCTTGTGTCTCATTCTAAAGTAAGAGTCTAATAATTTTGACGATTGTCTTGTAATCATTCATGCAGTTAAATGTAGTGTTATGAACGAATGACCTAAATGTGTAAATATGACCTAAATGTCCTTAATGTCTTGGTGCGCTTGTTGCCTGTCTGTATATTACCTTCTGTCTGTTTCATTTAGCCCTCCAGTCCTCCTCTTATGGCGTCTTTCAATTGTCTTTGTCTCATAGTGTCCAATGTGTTTGTCTCAATGTCTTTTTTCTTCTTCTTTCAATCAATCACTTTCTTTTTTCTTCCGATAACTTTTTTCTCATAATGTCTTTCTCCTTCTTTTCAATCTTTTCTTCTTCTTTCAATCTTTTTCTTTCATGTCTTCTTTGTCTCATTTTTGACGCACACAAATGTGTTGTCGTGCTCTTCTGCTCGGTTCACACCGTTCCTCTTCGTGCACATAACTCCACTCGGTTTGTGCAAAAGTCCGGTTCCTCTCCTCTCCATGGCCGGAGAAGTCTTCTTCCAGAGTTCCTGTTAGCTGCTGCAGCCGATGCTGCTGTCTGCGGATCGGGGAAGACGCTGATGGTCCGTGCTGATGCCGCTCGATTGAGGTCTTGTGGCAGATGTTTTTGGCCAAATGAAACAGACAGAAGTTTTCTCAGAAAAAAACAGACAAACAAGAAACACAAACAAGTGTTTTAATACTATACAAAACCAATGATTAATTACAAATCTAAATAAACCTATGGCATAATTAATATTAACATTTTAAACATTAAATTCTGAAAACCGAATCTGCATTCAACTGCTATCCTAAGCCCTATTTCTCCAAAAGTATAATGTTCTCTAAGATCATTCTAACTTTTATATCACCAAAATGTAGGGAAAAAATGTTTAATAACTTGTCCAGACGCCTCTGCAGTAATTTGTCAGAATTCCCCTGCCCCAGAAGCTGCAGACACGCCGCAGTAGCACAGCCCGTTTCGTTCTGCAGGTCCTTTTAGTTCAACAAGAGACAAAACCAATGTTAAAACAGTAAATAGAAATGACAGATACCAAACCTGATTTCAAAGGTTATATTGAAGATTTGCAAGCAATATTACAATATTAACGGTCTGCGAACACAAGTCTCGCTTCGCGTTCAGATAAGGAGTGGCCTCGGGTCTCTCTCTGCTCCTGGTCAGACGAAAAAGAAAAAGCCCCCGTGACCGCTCCTGTACATCTCTTATACTTTACATCCAAGGTCACTGACATCACAACTGTATGGACTCTATGACTCCTTCTGGCCAGCTGCCAAAGCCTGCACCTGCTCTGATAACAACACTTGTTTTCCTCCATTCTCACACAGACTAACCTTGACTTAACTGCTCTTTGAGATTTACCCAAACAAGTGCTGTATAAACCTAATCATTTCTGACGTTTAAGTTGTTTAAGTATTAATTTTAGCAACAGAAACAATACTAAACTGATTTTAGTTTAGCTGGTTCAGGAGTTTAATATTCCAACACCTCGGAGATAAAAAATAAAATAATGCCTCTTTATAATCTAACTCAAAGTTCTGTGATCATATGACTCCATGTCAGTAACATTATCGTGTGTATAAATGTAATTTTCTACAAAAAAATATTTGGTAATAGTTCTGTCTTCACGAGAGAGAGAGAGAGAGAGAGAGCAGACAGAAAAAGGGAGGGGGCTGAGTGGCCTCTCGAACAAAGGAAAACATGGACGATTGAAATACACCCCCTTTTGTTACATTTTCCTCGTTTTTATCGTGACAAGGTCTTAATCAGTGGTAAAAGTTTTTCTCACGTCAAACGACACTTTACATTTATTTAAATACGTCAGTAATGAAAACATTACCATTTGTCTACCTGATTAATGTATCGAGAGTTCCAGCAGAATCTTTTTTTTTTTTTGATTCTCTGTAACTATTAAACATTACATCAGAATAAGAGAAAAACTCCCAGAACTGATCTTTTGTCATTTCTTCACATGAAACTCGTATACTACAGCCAAGTGGCTCCTTTTTTTTTCTCATTAATCAGATCATTATTATTCTATATACAGAATCCACATTTTAAATACTTGGCTTTTTTCTGTTTAAATGTACCCTTTTTCCCGCCCCCGGGGGATATGGAGGTTTTATTATCCTATAACTTCTGACCCTAAAGCTGTCCCTATTTTTCTAATTCTATTTTCACTAAACACTTGTGCCTCTCTGCACTTTAAAACGGTGTGCCTCTTTTGCACTCTAAACTCTGTGGACTTTCTCTTCCGTTCTGTTTTCTTAGAGGGGACCAAAATCTTCCCTCGAGGTCAAAACGTCTAAACCTGACTATTGTTTTATCGCGTCCGATAAAACGCCCAACACGGCGGTCTGTCCACACTGCAGTCATGCTGGGCCGAATTCTCTCTCTCTTCCATTTAAAACAATGTGCAGATTTTCAAAAGTATGATCTGCTTACCTCTTTTGAAGCAACTTTTTCGAAGAGAAGAGAGAATTTTCCAGGCCCACGGACCCAGTCTATATCTGAGCTCATCTCGCGTCTTCTTTCTGTATCAAATCACGTCGGGGTCACCATTTGTTGTCAAAAAAGATTTGACAGACGTGTTCAAAGTTTGATACAGAAAACAGACGAAGATATCCAAGTTTAACATCTGTATTTAATTTATCGTTACAATCAGATATATTCAACAAAAGAGCTCCTAAAACTATCCATGTCCCTCTCTGGCCCTGTGCTGACTCTCAGCCCCCTCCTCAAGCCAGAGCATATCAGGAGAGGTCCAGGAAGAAGGGGGCGTGTCGTATCAGGCAGCTTCCGGTCTGAGATCCGCCTCCGCACCATCTGGCCTCCTCCGTCTCGCCAGACCTAAACAGAAATCATTCACACACACTACCCCTCCCTAATTCTATAGAAATATTACTTCCTTGAGATAAGACAGGAGACTCTCAAGGCTGTCGCTCCAGATTCTGGGTCCATCTCCTTCTCCAAACAACGGAAAGCATTAGCAGAATCAGATCTTGGCCCCCCCCCCAGATTAACTATCATTAACTCATATTCTGCCCTTTGGACTACTAAGAGGAAGGGAGACCAGGTCTTTTTGCTTAGGAAAGAGAATTAGGACCATCGTTCAAAATGGTCAATTTATTGTCACATCTGTTCAGAGTATATTTTGATACAACAGGTTAGAGTGTGAGCCTACTGACCCATCCTACGGAACAGAAGGTGGCGGTAATGCGCAAAAAATTGGTCGCCAACCGCCGAAAAAAAAACCAAGAAGAAGAAGAGTACTCAAGTGCAGTGAGTGTAAACTTCGGGTCCCAGCAGTCGTCACGGTCGCGGTCAGTCGAGCAGTCCCTGTGGCTGTAGCAGGACATACGCCTGCAGAGAGGGGGGCAGAGGCAGACTCCTGGCCCCCCTCTCACAGCCCCCTCCCCTGGACAGAGCGGTCCTCAGGGCACAGCGGGACAGGTGCATGAGGCTGCGGGGCGAGCAGGACGCCCAGAACAGAGAGTCGAAGAAGGTGCGGTGTCGCTGTGACAGAAGGACTTGTCAGACTGATCTGCACAGAATTCTGTCCACACACTTCTAACAAGACCATGATCTATATTTATGATGACTATAGGCAAAATATGAAATAGTTAATAGTTAATAATCACATTGTGAAACAAAATTCTAGAAATAAGCAATAAGAACATTCATGAAAACAAAGAAAACTGTTTCAGAAAAAATAAAGGGAAATCTTTGCAAGAAACCACAGGAAGTCTGAGGTCAGTGCCTGGTCAGTCTGAGGTCAGTATGGTCAGTCTGAGGTCAGTACCTGGTCAGTATGGTCAGTCTGAGGTCAGTATGGTCAGTCTGAGGTCAGTACCTGGTCAGTCTGTGGTCAGTACCTGGTCAGCCTGAGGTCAGTACCTGGTCAGCCTGTGGTCAGTACCTGGTAGCAGCAGTGAGGGACAGAGGAGCTCCACTTGCTGTTGGGCCTGAGGCGGTCGTAGCAGTTGGCCATGACCTCTACGACCAGGGGCTGTTCATGACAGACCAGCAGCACCTGCAACACACACACACACACACATTCATATTTTTTGCATACTTGTGAGACAGAGCACTGTGAGTCACTATTTGACGAGCTGATTGGCTGAGAGAAGGTGGTCCTTTCTTTTCACTTTTCTTTGTGAAAAATATGTTCTAAAGATCTAAGAGGCCAATAATGATTGACTAATAACCTAAGCATGAAAACTAGTGACAGAACTAGCTAGAACTGTTCTGAGAGCTACACGGATATGAAAACAAAACCCCAGCTTTAAGTGCGTGAAGGTGGATCATTGTTTTGAACAAATGAGACCATTTACCACAAGTACCTCTGGGATTGTGACTATTGTATTCATCTATTGGGATCAAACACATCTATTTAAAACTGCCACATGAGTGAGGGACTGAGGCGAAGCAGGGCAGGGCCTGGTTAGAACTGTGATGAGAGACCTCTGGGAACACCAGGTGGCACAGTGGGGCACTTCATCCACATTAGCTAGAATGAGTCTGGTTTGTGTGAGTGGATGGTGGTGGTGGGAGGGGCCAATGGCACATACTGGTTGCCTCGCTTCGGTCAGTGTGCCCCAGGACAGCTGTGGCTACAGTAGTAGAGCATGGAAGGAAAAGATAATGACCTGTGAAGTGTTTATGAGTGTCCTTAAAAGCGCTATATAAAACAGATGCATTATAATTTTCATGATTATTATTATTGCCTTGTGGAACTGTGCCGGGTGGAGACAGGGGGCGCTGTAGTTGAGCAGCAGTTGGAAGCAGGCCTCAGGCGTGCTCCCGGGGCGCACAGAGGACACCTCGAGCAGGTAGTGCAGAGGGGAGCAAAGGTTTAAGTCCAGGGCCCTGGGGTCTGCTCCAGCCTCCAGCAGCATCTGCAGCAGCTTCTGGTCACAGCTCCAGGCCGCCTTGTGCAGCGCCGTCTTGTGGTCCTCCTCACGGGCGTTTGGGTCTGACGGATTTCAAAGAACACATTCAATTCAATTTCAATTAGACTTATTTTAGTATAGGCCTAAATCACAACAGTAGTTATCTTGGATGACTCGCCAACACATATTAGAGAATCAAACAGTTTAAACACAAGAAATACAACGATTAAAAAAAACATTTAGCCATTGGTCCATAAGGAGCTGAGGACCAATGTCCATAAATGTTGTTGAATGTCTGGTCTCCTGGATCATCACCACTGTCTCTACGCTCTCCTGCATCAGCAAGAAACAGCCCTACAAGCCCAGTGGGAGTAAATAATATCCACATACCCCAATCGGCTGGGTGCTTCTGTTACTGTGTTTTGAGGCTTTAACATATTTCATGGTCACATGAGACAATGTTTGAAAATTGAAAAACATCTCCAGGTTGCTAGCCGATTATTTAAAATGCTGAAATATCTGGATGTACATTTTAGAATAGAGAGATTAAGAGACCTTTTATTTGTCCCACAGTGGGGAAGTGCTGTTTAGTGTGCAAAAGTAAACAATAACTATATTTTAAAATATAATAAAATCTTTGACTTGTGCATAGCCTGGCCGTAGTCATTCGTACAATCCGGTCAATCATAATTTCGAAATGTAGTTTGTACTATGGTGTGGTACGACCAGGCTAACTTGTGCATGATAAAAAAGCAAGAGTTAAGTATCAAGTCTCTTAACTTTATCATAGTAAAGAAGCAAGAATAAAATTCTTCACATACTAGTGCAAGAAATATATCGTTGTATGTGTAAATGTTAGCAGCATGAGGGTCTGGGGAAAAGTGACACATGTGGTTACAAATAAATAAATCAACAAATGAGTAAATGAATCCACCTGCTCCGTGCTCCAGCAGCAGCCGGCAGACCTGCTGGTGCTGTGGGCTGTAGCTCTGCTCTCTGGAGTCATAGGCCCAGAACACTGCGGTCATCAGAGGCGTCTCCAGGGACGAGTCCAGCGCGTCCACCCGGGCCCCATGCTGCAGGTACAGGGCCACCAGCTCTGGGACTCCGAAACGAGCCGCTGTGTGGAGGGGCGTCACCTCGTCATGGCTGCTGCTCACTGCATTCACATCCGCTCCTGGACACAACACAGAAAACAGGAGGTCAAACCGGTCCTCAAAGGGTTAAAGTTCCAACCTGAGCAGGAGCACACCAGATTCCACCCATTTCCTAAATCTCCGGGTTAAACTGGACTCACCTGAGGAAATGGGTGGAATCTGGGCTGCTCCTGCTCTGCTTGGAACTAAAACCTGCAGCCACGACCTGCCCTTTGAGGACCGGTTTGACACCCCTGACCTAAGACAAATATAGTACAGTGGCAGGCAAACCCCGGCCCAGTAGGTCAGATGCGGCCCTTTCTAGTTTAAAGACTATAGAGCAGAGCTCCGCAGTCACGCTCCCTGCAATATATAACATTCAATACAATAAACGCATGTGTAAAAAAATTAGAAAAAAATTGGAAATTGTGTCAGGATAATCAAATGTGGCCCTGTGGAGGAAAGGCTTGCCTGTGCTAGTACTATAGTAGCACTTGATGAAAGCAAAAATTAAAAAGAAGTGGTGGGGGTATGTCTTTAAAGTACCAGTATGTAATATTTGCATGTCAAGTCATCATTTAAGGTGCGTTCAGACCAAACGCGTCTTGAGCGTCCAAAGCGTCGGGTTTACATTGACATAACATGGGGGACGCGCGTCTAGGAGCGTCAAGAGATCACGCGGCGCGTCACGCGCCTCCCGAGCAGTGCGTCTTCGAGCGTTTCGCGCGTTTGGCGCGGCGCGTTTTGAGATTTCGAGCGTCTTGACGCGCGTAAAGCGCGTGACGCGTGAAGCGTGAAGCGCGTGAAGCGTGAAGCGCGTGAAGCGTGAAGCGCGTGACGCGTGTTACGCGCGGCTGACGCTCGAGTTGAACAATGTTGAACTTTTCGGGAGAAGACGCGAGCGTCTACCAATCAGGAGCCTCCTCCAACAGTGACGTGGTAACGCATTTCAAGGCAGGACCGATGGGGACGACAACACAACAGCTATGAGGACAAGCTGTGTGGTTAGCCCATGAGCCCTGCAGACTATAACCACAGTGACATGGAGGAGGGTCAGTGAGGAGGTTGGTGTCTGGTAAATTATTTAATCTGTTCACAATTGCTAATCCTTCCTTGCACAAAATCTGTAATGTCACAGGGAGAAACAAACCCACAGATTACATATTAAAGCTACACAGAGGAAACAGTCCATGGAGACAGCAGCTGTAGTGTTCTAACTGTAAACACTGTTATCTGTATTCATATAAAATAGATTGTGTATATAATTTATAATCCCATACTAAGACTGGGAATACTGTATAATTATTAACATTTACTGTATATATATATGGCTTACTATGAAGCACTTTTCATACAATAGTCTGATAAATATAATGATGAAATAAGAGCACATTATACAGATGTTTATTTTGTCATTAATAAAGGACATTTGCAGATGACAGTCTCACTTACAAAAGGTTTAAAGTGGTTAGCCACGCCTCTAAGTTTTATTTGTGTGTATATTTCCAATATATCATTCTTCTGTTCCTCCTCAGTGTCTGTTTCTCCTGCTGTGTACCTCTAATATTAAATACAGGAAGGATTTCTGTGTTTTATTTTGAGGTGTCCATGTTTTAACATGATGTTTGTGTTCTTTTTCAGAGACTTTTGGTGAAATGGAACTCAGACTTTCTCTGACAGCAACAAAATCACACTGCATCGTTTCTATCCATTTATTCCATCACCTCCTGCTTCACCTCCATCACCTCCTGCTTCACTGCGGATTAACAATATGAGCTACAACAAACATATTTTCATGTTTATTTAATCATCAGTCATGAATAGTTAGAACAGTGGGATCTGCATCTCTGAAGACGAGGAGCAGCAGGAGGAGCAGCAGCAGGAGCAGCAGTAGCAGGAGCAGCAGCAGCAGGAGCAACAGCAGAGTCCTGGGCGTCTGCCTCTGACACCTTCAGAGCCTGGAAATAAAAAATAAAAAATAAAACTTGTTGGTGTTATTACAATTTATTTTTTTGTCTGAAGTGTAAAGAGTCATGAAAAATAAGGTATTATTTACACAGGTACATATTTGTCAGCAGTACTTAAAGTTCTAATTGAATACATTCAACTCTAATCTGATCAGTAACAGTCTGTTGCTTTTCAAGAATTCAAAAAGAGCAGTTCTAGGCCTTTCCTGTGTTCAACTCCTTTTTACTGATGTTCGTTATAATACAGATCCATGGATGTGCTTATTATTATTATAGATCCATGGATATTCCTTTCTCATCAGAAAACACACGTTATTACATTTATGTAAGTGATGCACAAACGAGGGCCATAGCAAATAAATCAATCATATATCATTTATCGCATATGAGTGCATTGTTTACATACAATATGGCTTTGTAAAAACGAATGATTACTGCCAATAGCGAACTATCTAAATGACGTCACTAAGACACGCCCCCGCCGCCTGTCAACTCCCGCCCACATGTTTCGGACAAACACTGCCGAAATGAATCAAATACCACTTGTCACTTTAGACGAAAATGATATACCAGGGGCAAAATTCCACCATCAAACCATCAGGGATCATAGTGTAGACCAATTATAACGTTGGCTTGAATGTCGTGGTCTTCCAGTAACTGGTAGAAAGTTTGAATTGATAAAAAGATAATGGTGAGGATTATGCTAACATTATCTAGTCATTTAAATTGCAATGCTAGCGCCTTCTTTGTTTGTTTTGCTGTTTTACTTGATTAACTTCCATTTATCAAGTTGTTTTTGCACTATCCACTTTGTAATTAGTTTGATCATTAGTTAGCTACAGTCAGCTGATATTATAATAAATCCATGATCACAACGGGTTACGCCACTGTCTCTGAGAGAAACTATCGGAGCTAGCCACACTCAGTAAACGCAAATGACAATCAATCAACACATTTAAATGTTAATGGGAGAATACATTATACACATTCATAACACAAGTGCACGGAGGTTTTCAGAATTAACTGTTCAGGTTTTCATGACAAAAATACTTTTTTAATGCGACTAAAGCGATCGCTTTTAGGTTAACTATCCTCACTGTTACTCGCCTGCCACGGGAAAACCTTTGGGAACTATTTTCTTTGCACTCATTAAATAAACCTTTCGGCATGAGTAGTGAATGACGTTTATTTTGTGTGTTCAATTGGTACAAAGCCGTATAATAAGCAGACACAAAGTTGAAAAAAATCCCTCTCATCTTTCTTCAGGTGTGAGAATTGTATACTTTCTGGATTAGGACAAACAATACTAATATGGATTGATGGGGGTAAATGGTGTAAAGAGAAAGTTTGTGCTAACTACATTCAGAAGAGCTCAGACGGACCTGATACAGCGGTCCAGATCCAGTCCCAGCTAAACGTAGCTAGGACTGGATCTGGATGCTCCACAGTTGGTCCAGCGAAGTGTTTTGAAAAAACATGTGTCCTTTTTAACCTTTTCATGAGAGAAATTCTGCCGACCACAAGCACCCACCTGGTCTGATCTGGTCCTGGTCTGGTCCTGGTCTGGTCCGATGTTGTGGTTTAACGAACGGGTTGAATGTTACTTTCATATAGTCCTTTTCAGAGTATCTGAAATCGCTCCGACAAGCACCATAACTGCAGTGTTTTGTTGTCACCATGATTCAATGATTTAGCCCAAATAAATACACACGCGTATGAGGAGAACACAGTAGAACTCAACGAGTCGTACACAATGTTTGTCCGAAACATGCGCGCATGCGCAGTCATCTGAGCTATTTTTAGCACATTTCGGAAACCGGACAGTGCCCTATACAATTGTTATAACAGAGAAAGTCCGTAACAAACGCCTCAGATTTTCAGAATGAAGATTGTGAGAGCTCCACTGATCTGTCCCTGCGTTGAGAAGCTCTTTCTCGGCTTGAGCACTGCCCGACCCCGCTCTCTGCACTGGAGAAAAGTCCGACAATGTTCTATTTGATCCCCAAACAGACCTCCGATATGACAATTAGTGATGAGTCGTGCCGCGTCAGCGCTTCGGGGCGTGAGCCGAGAAATCCCTGAAGTTTTTATCGGAGCGCGGGCCGAAGCCTGAGTTGTTTTAGATGAGTGACGTCACCAATGACGTTTGAAGCCTCGGGAGCACAGGAAATGGAGCGATTCATGAAGTACTGCAGAAGATCCGCTCAAACTGTGTGTTTGTCTTGATGATTAATGTAGTCAGTGATGGAGAGGCTTGTGGACAAGCTGGTTGGCTCAATTGATAGGGAATCAGGGCTGGGACCTGGGAGACCGGGGTTCGAATCCCACCGGGAGTGCGTCGATGTAAATACACGAGAAAGAATTTTGTCAGAAATGTTTTGGTTTTGAAACAACTGATGGGGTCACAATCCCAAATGATATCCCCATTTGTGTCACGTCCTTTGAAAAGCACTTACACTTTCAACATGTTTTTTGTCCCATTGGATTTATAAATAAATATATTTTGACTTGAAAAGCTATAATCATTCATCATTAAATATGTATATAAATATATATCTACATATATGTATGTGTGTGTGTGTGTGTGTGTGTATTAGAGCAGACAACTGTACCAGTTACCAGTACATTATAATTGTATTGTCATTTAAAATATATTCCTTTTCACTACTGATAGTGATCATAATGAAACAGATGAATTAATGGGTCATACACAATCAAATTACATTTTTATTTCTGTTACCAGTATTAGTTCCTATGCACCAAGAGCCTCACAAACAGTTCAATTGTCAATACAGATTTTGACCAACAGGAGGTTTGTGAGCATATGAAGCATCAAGAAATGAACCTTTTCTCGAAACAATGGATGAAAAGGTTCAACACTTCATGAAGCTTCATCAACCCATCACTAATGACAATAGAGGGGGGTATTTCTCGCCTCAAATGTTATTAGAAGTAACTTTCATGTCCTAATAAAAACATATTTTACACTTTTTACCTTAATCCTGGCTCCCGTGTCCTTCCCTCTCCGAGTTGTGTTGGCAACAGAGCAGGCCCAAGCCCTGGCGATCCAAGATGGCGCCCTATTCAAATGAATGGTTGTGCTCAGCGGCGCTTTGTGACGGCATGGGGGCTGAAAGATTAGCGGAAGTCGCCTGAAACTCTCAAAGATCTATGGGAAACTCGCCTGTATTTGGGCATCGTCTGGTCCTCCCGGTTCTGCGCAGTGGATGATCTCCCATAATGCGTTGCGTCAAACACGCGTGTGTGGGTCTCACACCGGGTCTCACGCACGTGCACAGAGGGGCTCGGCCGCGCTCTGACCAATCAGAGCAGTTCATCAGAGCGGGAGTTAGAGCGAGAGCCAGAGGAGCAGAGTTTGTGGCACTAAAGTGTGGATTTAAACAAAACCGAAGGATTTAAGAAGAAAAAAAGTTCAGGATGACAAGGTACACTAAAATCCCCACAAAATCCGATCTTTATTAAAGCTGTAGGTTCTCTGTCAGCTGAGGTTGAGCTGTTTTAATATGCATTGAGTTCTATGGGGAAAATTTCTGGGTAGCCCACGTGAATTTAGTCTGGTTCAGTCTGGTTCAGTCTGCAGTACCGCGAGAATCCCCCGAGCACATGAGTTATTCAGCTACAAGCTAGTAATACCCTATCCAGTTAATATAATACATCCATGAGCAGGCCTGCCTCAAAACGCTCTTCCTTGACGCGCCTCCAGAACGCTGCCCTCTAGTGTCCTGGACGCGTGTGACGCGCCTCCAAGATGCTCTGTGACAGCGTCTGCCACAATTTGTCACAAGCGTCCCAAGACGCGCGTCAGACGCGATTTTGCCGCAGAAAACGCGTTTGGTCTGAACGCACCATAAATGGCCCCATATTTCAAAAGGTGTTATTAAATCATGCTCTTTTTGAATACATCTTTAACTGATAACAGTAGTTCAGCCGAGATATTTGAATATCAAAATTAGTTTTACGACCCGTAAAAGTTGTTATTGTTTTGATTTTGATGTCCTACCCTCCGCCGTTTCGCCAATCAGGAAGTCCCATGGAAGTCCATGATCGGGTTGCCAGAACTCTGCGCGGCTCACTAATCTCAGTGGTAAAATAACATGTGGCCGCAGAACTAAAAAAGGTCTTGTTATGACTCTCAAATAATTAATGAAAAAACAAAGACTAAAACGAGGATTTATAATAGGGACGCCTTTGAACAATTGAGACGGCTGATAAAAGTTTACGTGTAATGCAAAATTTGCTGCTTTGACTCCGTTCTTTAGTATATTGCGTTCAGCGGGAATTGGTGGTCTAGGGGTTAAAGCAACGCGCTCACGACACAGTAACCTGGATTTGTATGTATTTGCATGTTGTCACATTCTATGACAGATTGCTCTAAATACGGTAAAAGATAATGTTAGTCTCTTTTTGATGTGGGACTTATACATGTCTAAAAAATGGGGAATAAATAAAATGGAAAGGTGATTTCCTCTGGAGCAAACCCTGATGTTGATACGCTGAAGAAATACGTTCCAACATTCATTCTTCCCACTCCTATTTTGGACATCAATTGCTTATTTATTTTGGATAATCTATAATTACATTGCTTTTATTTTGTTTCTTGTTTTTTTATCTCAAATGTCCAAATAAAAAAAATAAAAAAACATTCATTCAAAATTAGCATGCCTCATGGCAATGTGAATGGAGACAGACAAACAAATGATAAATAATTCCCTGTGTTTGCTGCTGGATTTGGTGTGTATCTGGCAACCTGAGTCAGGGAGAGTAGGAGAGGACTACAAAATATTGACTGTGACTGCAGTACCACTTTTGGCCATATTTTTTATTACATATTGTTCCTTTAACTGTAGAACCCAAACATAAAACTATGTGTTGAAAAAAAATACTATTCGCGCTATCTTTTGTTAAGGGGAAAGGTAAGACCTTGCGCAAACATTTTGCGAAAGCAGCATCCACTTCTTGGGTGCATACATTGGTTAGTACATTTAAGCAGAAAGTCAACATTCTTTTGCCATTACCTTTTTAACTTTATGTTGCATATTTGTGCCTCAAGGTGAAATTTTTTTATCGAAAAAGCTGCTAACCGTGTGTGAGCAGCAGGCGCGCACAGGCCTCTGCTTGCGCGCTCACGCAGTGGTGCAGCGCCGTGTGGCCGCTCAGGGACCGCGCCCGCAGCTTGGCCCCGCTCTGCAGCAGCAGCTGCACACTCTGCGGGTTGGACGCCTCACACGCCACGTGCAGCGGCGTCTTCCCGTTGGGCATGCGGTTCAGCGCTGCTCCGCGCTGGATGAGGAGCGTTGCACACTGCAGCGAGTTGTACAGGACGCACACATGTAGCGCCATGGCCCAGGACTTCTCTAGCTTGTGCTCCGGCAGCCAGTACCCTGCGGGCAGGAGGGCATCAGAGGGAGAGAGTATGCTGAGGGGTTAAAGGAGACATGTCATGCAAATGTTCTTTTGACATTTTACCCAGGCTAAAATATTGTTCCCTCATCATCAGTCACAGATCTGTGGTTTTTAGCTCCACTAAGCTAGGACTGATCCTGTTTCAGTCAGTTTGATCCTTTTGCACTTTGACATCACACTAAAACAAAACAAAATTATAACCCAAAAGTTATAAGTCAATTTCTCAATAAGAAATGTATGGAAGAATTCAAGCTAAAAAAAATCAAAATCTGATGACACAAAAAATCTTCCATAGAAATCATGGCTGTGTGTGCAGCCAGAAATTTCGCAATTTAAAAAGAAGTCACATCTACACCTCCCTCTGGTGGCAGTATAGGGATATGGCAGGCTGAATCATCATCATTTACCCTTGATACTTTTTTATATATCATTTATTATTTGGTTTATATATTTTCTTCTGAAGATATTGTTTCACATTTTACAACATGAAATGAGTAATTAACTAGTAATTAATTTACATGACAAAGTAAAAATTATAATATTTGTTCTTTAAAGGATAAACATATTTTAGAATGATAAATTATTTCTCAAAGCTGGGTACCTAACTTTCAAACCACAAAAAAATAAAGACATGTTGCCTAGCTGTTGTGGTCACAACATTTTAGTTATTCAAAACTCGAACAACACTTTTCCCTGGGCTTCAGTTTGCCACATTGATACCACTGGCTGCAGTAGGTGCATACTGTTTGTATCATGATACACAGGTGCCACAGTGCGGTGGCTGCAGCTGTAAAGTGTGTTGTCTTGAATCAGTCTAGTGTTTGTTGGATGTGGTTGGAGGGGCTGATGGTCGATGCCCCAGGGCAGCTGTGACTACAGTAGAAGTTTAACAACCCCTTGTGCAAAGTAAATGACTACCGCCATGTGAGTACCCGGTATATAAGACAGATGCCATTATTATATTTTTTTATTTTTTTTTATTACATAGTATTTACTCTGTGATTTCGGCTCTTTTTGTGTGACGTGCAGATTCAATATTTTCGATTCAAACATTGAAGATAATATAAAATAATATAAAATTTCTGTTTTAACTGATGAACACACCTTTTATGACTCTTGAAGATGCTTGGCCACAGCAGCCCTGGGGCAGACTGACAAAAACCAGCCATCAGCCCCTTTCAATTCATTCCCCCATGTGTCTTGGACGTCAGTTTTAATGATTAAATCCAAGCTTTTTTTTGCTTTATCCTACTTCCTGCAGACATCAGCAACACATCCTGGATCTATTGAGATTTTTACACATTTAAAGATGTGGACTGAGAGCAGCTGAGCTAAGTCCAGTTCAAAACGTGACACAGCCCAGAACACACCACAGAAAGGAACATTATCATTGTGCTTTTCACTGGGTAAGACTTGTACCGTCACATGTCACAGACCATCCATGCACATGCAGCTGTGGTACTGACCCATGGATCTATCACTGACCCTGTTTGTAGGAGGCCAGGTGCATGCTGGGATCGTCCACCTCCAGCACTGTGTCGATGTCCAGTCTGCCCGTGGAGAGGAGCTGCTCTGCCTGCAGCGGCTCATCCGCCTGCAGAGCCTCCAGGAAGTGTCTCTGGAGCTGCCGCCTGAGCTCCGCCATTGCCCGGGGTCTGCAGGACACACAGGGGACTGTTCCTGGACCAGGCTCAGCTGCAGCCCCCCACACCCGCCAGAGGACAAGTGCCAGCAGCCAGAGCAGAGAAGCCAACAAAGGTCCCAGCATGGCCCCATGTGGAGGCATGTTGGAGAGTGAAAATACCGCTGCCGCCATGGGGCTAATAATAGAAGGGTGAAAAATAGATTTCAAAGTTAGAGGGAGGAGGCAACTAAGATGACCCTGGGTAATAAAGCTGGGGTACGTACCTTTCAAACCCACAAAAAGTAAGCACATTTAACTAATCCATATTCCTTGCTCTCAAAACAGTTTGGTTCTATGTCCAGTCTTCACATGCATGACCCTTTAGTGCACTCCTGATTCAACACATCAATGCATTTAGAAAGATTTTATTGTTTGGCGCATTGACCCCGGCAGGGACACTTGGAAAGATTCAGATTCAGATTCATTTATTTGCCATTTGCAGTAAAACCACATAGGAAAAACTGTGCAAGACTACCCCAGTGTGCACCAGACGACACACACCAGAGCTCTTAATGCAGAACATGATCTCCGATCCCCCAGGATCAAGCACTTGTGGTGGCTAGAAGCATGGTGTGAATGAGACATAGGCAGAGCAGGAGCAAGTGCAGGACCTAAGGCAGGAGCCAGAGCAGGAGCCAGAGCAGGAGCCAGAGCAGGAGCCAGAGCAGGAGCCAGAGCAGGAGCCAGAGCAGGAGCCAAAGCAGGAGCCAGAGCAAGAGCCAGAGCGGGAGCAAGAGGCCAGTGCAGGAGCTCGAGGAGGTGCTGGGGAGGCGGAGGGTGTCAAGAGCTTTGAGAAGCACTGGTTAGTTGGAAGTGGCTGCTCTTGTTCTGGGCTCCTCTGGAGTCATCCATCCCTAGACTTTCTTCCACTTTACCCTGAGCCAGGTCACTGAGGCAGGAGTCTGAGCAGAGAGGCCCAGACTTCCCTCTTCCCCTATTGCAGCTGGATGAAGCGTTCCCTGGCCAGCTCCTGATTCAGCTCCCTCTTCACCACCACAGTCTCATAGAGCGGCCACTTCACTGCAGGCGCTGCTCCTTCCCTCACAGTGAACAAGAGCTGAGATACTGGAACTTGTCCCTTTGAGGAAGGACCTCTGCATCTCCTGGAGAGGGCGAGGCATCTTTCACACGTCCAGAAGTGTGGCCTTGTATTCAGAGGGGCGCTTCACCCTCTGCAGCAAAACTGCCCAGTCAGGCACTCTCATGGGCAGATGTGTTTTCCCTCAGCGCCTGCACAATGAGACATCACCATTAGACTGTTGGAAACCTATAGTAAATCCCAGTGTAGATTTGCTGGTGTTCTTTTGAACTGGAAAAGTGTCAACAAACTAGTGTTAGACAGTGCCCTGGCGCTCAGTGCATTTACCACAGCTTTGGCCATAAACACAGATGAGTTAGTGGGAGCGCTCCAACAGCAGTTTGAATACACTCTGCGTCTCCATGACAACGAGCCGCGCGTCACAGACGCCGAATTGACAAATATAAAAATGAAGGGTTTTAGTTTAGCCCAATTGAAGTGGTCAGTGAGTGCATCGTACATTTTCTCTCTGGTCAAAAGATAAAAAATATATTGACGTTTGGCATCAGGGTGTGTTATTTCCACCCAAAATACAAGTCAGCTTTAAATATAACATCTGGTCCAAGTTTAAACGGTTGATCACCATGGCGGCATGGGTAGAGCAACCCGCCAATGTAAAGCTCGGTTCAGGAGTCTGGGGTTCGAGTCCCACGGTCAGCACTCTGGACAGAGAAGTCCTTGATTGGTGAAAACCCTCACGGCGACGTGAGGAGCGGGCGAGCTCCACACTGCACTCACTGGGGCCCTAGCCGGTGGTGGGAGCACGACACCGGGCAGACATGGACGTGTGGCTGACCCGGTGTCCTAGGGCATGTTGAAAGAAAAATTGGGATGGATGGGGGGAGGGGGGGTAACCTTTTGGATCCAAAAGCACACATGCAAATAGTTTGGTGATTGGGATGAAGTCGGTGGCTCACAATCAGATTGACACATTTTCAACAGGACCTACTACGCGGATTATTCAATATTTGTTTGCTAACTGCGGAATATGTTTTGCGTCACATTTAACAGTGTGTTATGGGCCTTACTTTATAAATGAACTCCACAGACCACTTCAGTTCGGACCAGTTTCATGTTAAAGTCCAGATAATAGTTTGAGCGCAGATACGTAAGCCTCCATTTGGAAATTAGTCCAATGAGTTTGAAAAAGTAAAACCAAACGGGTGTCTCCCGTCTCTTCTTCTTGTATTTCTCCGGCGGCAGCCGACTCTCGGGTGAATCCAATTTCTAAAATCTACCTTCTTACCCTTTACCTCTCTTTATTATCATTCTTAACGTCATTGGAAGTAGGACATTATCCAAAGTGGCTTTCAAATCATCTTAAAATGTGTTATTAAATGTATGTTAGCCAAACCTGTGGCTGCCCTCAGCAGAGGAAGAACAAACGCTTTCTGATGGAGTCGGATGCAGCCGATTTCTGGCTCTGTCAAATATGAGAAGAAAGATGAGAAGAATTTTAAAAATCAATTTCTGAAATATAATCATCTTGATTGTGTAAAGATTGAGATGAAGAGATCCTTTATTCGTCCCACAGTGGAGACATTTCAGTGTTGCATCAGCAGTTACAGAACATCAGAAATGAGTTGAACACAAGACAAATGATCCCTCTGTAGAGTACATCAAATCAAATAAAAATGTCTAACTCTAGCATCAAAAGAAGCAGAATATAATCTCTATCTTTAGCACAATGAATACAAGAACCCTGACTTTCACATGATATCAAAGTATAAAGTCTCTACCTTTGGCAAAATAAGAAGCAAGTACAAAGTAGTGTGTATTGTAGTGCCAGTAAGATGGAGTTGTGTGTATGCATCTGTACATGTTAGCAGCACGAGGGGGGTATGGGACAAAGTGGCAAAGTAGAGCCACAGTGACACGTGTGGTTCTATATTGCACATTCTGACATTCTTAAAGTCATTATTGCACCGATGCATGACATATGCGAGTTCAGGTCGGCAGTGTTCCCTAGCCCTCATTGTTTGTTGTACAGTCTGACAGCAGCAGGAAGGAAAGTCCTGCGGTGACGTAAAATATAGCTTGACATATGCACCTTAAAGCTGGGGTACCCACCTTTAAAACCACGACAAATGAAACTAACGTCATCCGATTAGTCAGACAGGACTGTGAAAAGAGGAGCACCCTCAGCCGATCAGCTCAGAGCCTCAAATAGTGACTAACAGGGCTCTTTCATAATAAGGTCCATGACCTGAAGCACAATGACAAACCTGCAATACATGGCTCAAAAACAACAAGGACTCTGTAGTTATGCATAAAAGCTGAAACAAATCCTCATTTCCTTCAAATACATTTGGACTTTTCACATCAAATGTGGGAACGCTAGTTTGCCCAGTTGTAAGTAAACCTCTGGTTTGATTGCCCCCTGCTGGGGAGATGTAACACTGCACTTCAACACAAACACACTGATATTTGAATAAGAAATAAAAGCCAACAACAAGTCAAATTGAATCTTATTTGTTTATTATTATTGTTTACTGTACTTGAGCTGTTTGAACAGTACATATAGAGTCAAATCATAACTGCAGTTGAGTATACAATCAAAAGTTAACAAAATACTGTATAGAGCTCAAAAGGAGCAAGCTGAAGTAAAGAAATACTTTTGGGTGCTTGCCCTCTTGTTACAAAACCAAAAGAAAACCAAACCTGCTGATGACATGAATAAACATGAAGCACACTGGTTCATAGATTACAGTTCATAGAATCCATTCAGCAAGAATTGACAAGATTCAAACAAATTTCATTCTTTGATGCGTATTTGTCTGCGCACACACGCATACACACCTGAAGTGTGCATGTGCCCGCACATAGTGTGTGTGTGTGTGTGTGTGTGTGTGATCAATAAGAAAACAACACCAAACACGAGTACCTGAGAATAATAATAATAATGCATGGGTTTTATATAGCGCTTTTCTGGACACTCAAAGACGCTTTACATGTCATGATTCATTCCCTCCATACACGGTGGTGATAAACTACTACTGTAGCCACAGCTGCCCTGGGGCACACTGACAGAAGCGAGGCAACCAGTATGTGCCATCGGCCCCTCCGACCACCACCAACCATTCACACACACCAGACTCATTCTAGGCAATGGGGGTGAAGTGTCTTGCCTAAGGACACAACGGCAGTTTGGCACTTCACGGCCGCAGCCGCCCCACTGTGGCTGGTGGAATCAAGGATACACACATACATACAGTGAACCCTCACCAGTGGCATATGCTTTAAAGATGCTTAACTTGTACAGCTTTTTAAAGTTTAAAAAGGTTTTAGCAGTTTTCAGGCTCTCTTCAAGTTCATTCCACAAATTAGATTGTATTTGTAGATTATGGTTGGAAGCCGTTGAAGTCTTACCTTGTGCCTGATTTGCAGTGTTCTAAACCTAATTAGATCATCAAATTCCAATCATTTAGATTTGAGAAACAGTGGGTTTGTATGATCCTTCTTTTCTATAGTGCTGGTTACTTCCTCTACCAATTCCATGATTGCAAGTGCTGTAGAGCGGTTTTCTCTGCAGCCATACTGGTTTTCATGTAGCAGGCCGTTTTTGTTTATGTACTTGTTTGAGCGTTCAGAAAATAGATTTTCTACCATTTTCGATATCTGTGGCAAAAGCGAGATTGGTCTATAATTTTCAAAAGAGCCTATTTTGAAAAGAGGTAGAACTTTATCTATTTTCATTTTGGATGGGAATTTGGCTGTTGGCAGTTGGATGTTTAATGTGATCACATTTGGATTGCTTCAGGGCAGTCTTCTGTTGAGCTCTCTCTGTCCCTCGGTCGCTTGTTCTGGGCTCCTCTGGAGTCATCCACCCCTAGACTCTTCCACTTTACCCTGAGCCAGGTCACTGAGGCAGGAGTCTGAGCAGAGAGGCCCAGACTTCCCTCTTCCCCTATTGCAGCTGGATGAAGCGTTCCCTGGCCAGCTCCTGATTCAGCTCCCTCTTCACCACCACAGTCTCATAGAGCGGCCGCTTCACTGCAGGCGCTGCTCCTTCCCTCACAGTGAA